ACCATAGAGTGCAGACAGTCGGTATATGTTAAGTGGAGACATACAATGTCTCTCTTTCATAACCTGACTTGCTTCACTCAGCAAATCTTCCATATTCGTCCACTTTCTATCAAATTCCAGGGCCTTTTTTACGGCTGAATAGTATTCCATGGAGTATATGTGCTACACTTTTTCAATCCATTCATTTGTTTGTGGACATTTGGGTTGGTTCCATGTGTTAGCAATCGTGAATAAGGCTGCAATGAATATAGATGTGTGAGCGCTTTTCCGACTGAGTGCTCTCCTGTCCTTTGGGTAGATACCCAGGAGTGGAATTGCTGGATCATATGGTAGGGTAGTTCTATTTGAAGGTCATTGAGGAACCTCCATATCATTCTCCACAGTGGCTAGACCAATTTACATTCTCACCAACAGTGTAGGAGTGTTCCTCTTTCACCACATCCCCTCTAGCATTTATCATTATTTGTTTTTTTAATCTATGCCATTCTGACTGGAGTTAGATGGTATCTCATTGTGGTTTTGATCTGCATCTTCCTTACAGTGAGGGATGTTGAGCATTTTTTCATATGCTCTTTGGCTGTTCATATGTCTTCCTTAGAGAGTGTTTATTCATCTCATTTCCCCATCTTTTAATTGGGTTAATCATTTTCTTCCAGGTAAGCTGCTTGAGTTCCCTATGTATTCTGGTTATCAGTCCCTTATCTGAGACACAGTTAACAAAAATTCTCTCCTATTCCCAGGGTTGTTGATTTGCATGCTCCCTATAGCAAAAAATAAATAAAAAAATAAATTTATAACTGAAAAAGAAATTCAGCTGTATCTGTAATATACACCAATTTAAAATACCCTACAACATGACTGATAAGTATCAGACTATAGATTTCTGAGAATCTCAAATAATTTTGGAACATATACATGTATAAATATATACATACATACATACATACACACATGTAATACCCATATAAATAACTCAAATATAAAGTTAAAATTGCTCAATTTGACAATGTTTCCCCATATCATTTAACATAGGAAAATAATTCTTATTAGTTCTAACATTTCTCTTTTGGATTTTTTTTTTTTGAGAGATTTTTTTTGCTATAGGGCATGTGGAGAGACACACAGAGAGAAAGCTAGTAATCATCCCCTGGGTGGATGGACATGTCTCGGTCCCTTCTGCATTCTCCTCTCTACAATTCCTTTTCCTCCATTCTCCTCTCAGGATTTTGAGCATGCACACACACACACATACACACACACACACACACACACACCTGGTGTGAGTTTTAAGCCACTGGGTCTAAAACTTGAACCATAGTCAATTACATGGAGTCCAGCAATGTAACCATTATGCTATCTATTGATCCCCTCTTTTGGATGTTTCAGAGGCCCATTAAATATCCAATGGCTATTTTTAGGTAAAAGAACTTAATTTAGAATTTGATTTGGGGAGGGACACATTAAAAGTTAAATGTTTCCCAAGCACTTTAGGGATGAAAAAGGGTTAACTTGGTGTCTGGACACCAAAACTAAAGTGATAAAAAGCTAGTAATGAGTCCATTTCCCCATTAGATATCCACCATGTAAAATATAGCAGAACATGTAAACCAGCTGTTTCATTAAGCCAACCATATTAAGATAAACATGCTTTTTGCCTCTCAATAAAAAACTTTGGACAAAATGTATGTTGGAAACCATGAAGATCTTCACTTATTAAATTCTTTTTCTTTTACTGTATTTGAAGCCGGCTTATTTACTTAAGTCATATGAACTTGAAAAGCATTTAAATTAATTTTATGAACATTTGTACCGACCCCGGGGGACAGCTGAACAGGTTTCCTGAGTGAAGGAGTGAGAGCTGGCACAAGCGGTGTAGTGTTACAGCATCTACCGTGAGCAGCACAGAGACGACGTGGTGTCACAGCTTTTCAGGGTCTCCCAGGTCGTCTGGAGACGATGGCAGTGTCAGCTCTTCAAGATCTTCAGGGTCGTCTGGAGACTGCGCGGTGTTTCAGCTCTTCAGGCTCTTCAGTCATTGTCTTCCTGGTCATCATTGCCTTCCTGGTCATCTGTGTCATCTGGCTACTGTGGGCCAGGCATCGTGGTTATATACATGCTGGTGGGTTGTAAACGGTGGGCCCTGATTGGTTGTAAATGGTGGGCCGTGATTGGTTGTAAACGGTGGGCTGTGATTGGTTGTAAACAGTGGGTTATGATTGGTTGCTTTTGGACCAATCAAGAGGTGCCAGATATGCAAATTTGAGGGATTCTAGTAGCCAATCAGAGCAAAGTTTCGAAGGTCAGGTTTTTTGAAGGGAACCAATCATGGCAATTGTTTGCTCTCTGAGAAACCTCGGCAGACTCGTTGGGTGCGCAGCCTCCCACAAACATTCTTTTACTTTTCTTAAGAGATTTTTGCTATAGAGCATGTGCACTTGCTGGAGAAAGCAAGCAAGAAATCACCCCCAAGGGGGGATGGCCATGCCACAGTCCTCTGTCCTCCATCCTCCTCTCAGGATTTTGGGCATACACGCACATGCACTCTTCGGGTTTTTTTGTTTGTTTGTTTGTTTGTTTTATTTTGTTTTCCCCCACAAAACAAGCAGACTTTATTGCAGTATTACAAAACACTTCCCATTTTGCCAGTATTTAACAATGTACTTAGCTTCAAGAGTTGGGAAGAAGGTTGGCAAGTAAAGGGGGAAATTTCAATGGACATTTCTAAAAGAAAAACTGTCCCAGCCTTCCCACCCAAATAAAAAACCAAATGTCACTTAATTTCACTACCCAAGAAGAGGCCACGAGGAAAGCAACAGGCAAAACTCTGGCAATTTCACTATGGATCATGTCAGAGACAAAGGTACATTCAAAACAGTCATCAGTATGGTTGGTTGCACTGATCATTTCTGTAGTAATTTCTTCCTCCCATTTTGCCTCCATAGCCACCTCTGTCTCCTCCATAGGCCCCACTTCAGTCTCTTCCATAGCCCCCACCACTCCTGTCTCCTCCATAGCCTCCACTTCAGTATCCACCGTAGCCATCACCACAGTCTCCTCCATAGCAATCCTCCCCCCCACCCTGCAACTTCAATCTTATCCATAGCTGCCTT